CGAGGGTCATCTTCAAGGCTTGAACGCCCACGTTGAAACTCCGCAGCCCATTTGCATACTGTTGTTTTTGAAGGAGCATCATCACCCAACACATTTACCATTTCATTATGAATTTCCATGGGCTTTAAACCTTTTTTCACAAAGAATTTTATTACAGCACGATGTTCAATATTTTCCATTTTAAAAAATACTATGACACGTCTAATTTCAATAGCTTGTAAACAAAGACTGAAATGACATATCGACTTGAAATTTTTTATGCGTTCATACGAAGAATGAATACGTTTAATACAGTTATAAATTTGTTTCTACTACTGCAACATAGGTGCCGCTCCGCGAACTTTTCAACCAACCCAGTATGTGTATGTATGTATGTGTATATATATATATATATATATGTGTGTGTATGCGTATGTGTGTATGTGTATGTGTGTATGTATATATATATATATGTATGTATGTGTATATGTATATGTATATATATGTGTGTGTATGTGTGTGTATGTATGTGTATATATATATGTATATATGTTATGTTTATGTTATGCTTCTTCCTAAAAACACGACTAATTATATTAAAAAATGTAATAAGTAATGAATAAAATATTTATGAGTATCTCATGAAATTGTTTAAAAAAAAGGGTTCTCGATGACAAGACTTTACACAGTTTTCTGCGAGTTTCCCTTGACTACATAAATAAAGGTTCAATTTTTCCTTTTTTAAGACTTTTTTTGTCTTTTCAAAATATAAACTGAAAACATACATTATTTACATTATTTTATTACTTTGTACATCAAATATATCTTAGTATGATTTCAGTTATTTTCAAAGCATTTTGACTGTATTTGTAAAAAAAGTATATATTGTTAAAACTATTTGTAATAAAAGTATGTATTGTTAAAGCTATGTAGTTGTAAAAATATATGGAAATAAAAAAAAAAAAGGCATTATAATGCAATAACTTTAAATATCACGCAATAGGTTTCATAAAAAGTCACAAAAAAAGTACAAAACGTCATTTATTTTGTTTGTCAATATTTGTCACTATTTACGTCTTACATTATTTCAGTAATGTCCCAGTGGGCACTGGACCAAAAAAAGATGTCTTTTGAACGTTCAAAAGGTGTCCAAAACGTTCAAAAGACATCTAAAACGTAAATAAGACATTTAAAAGACGTCTTTTTTACATCCGTGTCCACTGGGGTAATACGTTGTTAACAATATTATTTAATAACTTTGTCCAAGGTAAACACGGATCCTGATAATGCTAACCTAGCTGACCCTAATAATATTAACCTAGCTGAGTCAGCAAGGTTGGTATTATCACTAGGTTGACGTTCTTGCAAGAACGCCATTTAAATGGGGTGTACACATCAAGGTACCCTGTGATGCAAATTTTAAAATCTTTTGTCCGCGGAAAATGATATAGTTTGAATGTCCAAATTAAAAGAAATTTTGACTTTATAGTGTTACAATAAAAACACTTGTAAAATGTTTGATAAAAATTGTAAAACCTGTAAAACTTTTAATGAAAATCGATGCAAATGTAGCATACGGCCGCACCAAACTCTGGATAAAATTTTAGCCGGGTTGGTTTACTGGTTAAGGATTTATGGCAGTTTTAATTTATATTTTGTAAGTTTTTTGCTAATTAAACCTCAAAGCGTTCACAATTACTATGCTATTTGGTTACTATTTTTTAAAATAATGAGTTTAACCACTACTGGTTTGGTTTTGATACCCAAGATGTATAATAGCAACAAGATGGTAGAGCAAAATTTAAAAAGAATTTTTGAGGAGCAGATCAACACTTGAATTGACGACCGAAAAGGAGATTCTGGTACAGTTCGGTTTGTTGCTCACTGCAATGATTGATCAAGTCTTGTAAATCATGTTATTCAATCTCGCAAAATTACTGGTGGATACTTAACTCCTCACTTAATTTGAGCATTCAAATTAAATTATTTTCCGCGGGCAAAGTTGAAAGATTTCAAAATTTACATCAAATGGTACCTTGATGTGTACGCGTAGTGGCGTTCTTGGGTCAGCTAGGTTGGGACTATCAGGTTCCGTGCTAACGGTGTGTCAGTAGCATAATATTTGACATAGTAACAATATTATATCATAATGTTGTCAGTAACACGATATGTTACTGACAAAAAAATAAATTATGTTACTAGCAATATAAAAATATGAAAAAACTTGTAGTTTTAAAATGCTTAAAAATCTACTAAAGTGTTTTAATGTAGATAAACGAGAAAGTACATGCGTGATAATAATTTTTTTTTTTCTTTTTTACTTTGTACTTTTTTTTGCTTTTTTTATTCTAAATAATGAAGTATTATAGCAATTGTAATGTATAATAAGATTTTTTCTGAGCGTGTTTGTTTTTGTCTTCTGAGCGTGTTTGAACTCGTGTTTTAAAATCTTAATCTATTCAAAATTTTCAGGCATGCCAATGTTTATAATCTCTCTTTACGATAAAATTTATTTCGTTCAAATAATCCACTAAATATTTACACACTTATAACTTAACACGTAAAATTGAGCTGAAGTGCGAACTTCTAAATAAAAAAAAAGAAAAAAAAAAATTATTTAAATATTAACTCAAAACTATATTACATAGTTTTGAGTTAATATTTACTTGAATCCACTAGCGAATTAAATTGCAAAAAAAAAAAAAATTTGCAAAGGAATTTTAAAAACCTGCAGAACTACTACATTTAAAAACATTAACGATTTCTTTTTTTTTAAAGTTTTTATACAAATTTAATTTATCTTTTAAATTTCACGTATCATGCGTAATAATGGCTGTACTCAAGCCCGTAGGAACAAAAATTATATTGGGGAGGGGGGAAGTACTACCCCGAAATAGTTTTAAGGACCTTTATTTTTTTCCAATCATTTTCTTAGTCATTTTCTTCAGAATTACTTATTTGAAAAATTATTAAAAAATTATAGTTTGGTACTCTATATACCAAAGTTAAAAAAAACTTTACGTACAAAACGTGTCTTTTTCATATCTTTAAAACTTTTTCCTCTTTTTTTTTCATATCTGCAAAAGTTTTTTCGACATGCTGGAAAAATGGTGATCCCTTATGATTTATACATTAATCAAGGGAACGCACTCTTGTCAAACCCCTATTCCGACGTTAAGCGTCCTTTGCGTCCGCGAGATTGTATTTCTAGGAAATAGGCAAAATGGGGTATATAGGGATTTGCGCACATACACCGACTGATTTTTAGAGAGAACATATAGCGGAGTGTGCAAACAACGACTGGGTTTTAGGGGTAGGCAGGTTCCTTTTTAAATGAAAAAGTCATTTTTTTTTTTCAATTTCGGATCTTAAGGACAGCGTCGGAATAAGGGTTTGACAAGAGAGCCTACCTTAGTCAAAAACTTTGCAAGCTTTTTCATTTTAATTATTATATTATTTTTATGCACATTCTAAGTACACTCCCCTGTTTTGTATATTTCACTAAATTTAATATACAGCTCCATTTAATACTTAACTAATATGTTACTAAATATATATTTAACTCTAAAAAAAAAACTGCTTTAAAGTAGTTATATTTTTTGCAAAATTATTGCAACAGATATGAAAGATGTGGATGTTAGTATTGAAGCATTAAGAAAAAAATATAGGTTTGAAAGTTATGGAAACTGAAACTATTTTACTTTTATTTAAAAAAAAAATTTCGAGAATACTGAAATTATTTTCTGCAAAATCAAGGACCTAATATTACACAGTTTAGTTTAAAACCGAGCAACAAGCAATTGAGCTTGTACTGGTTAAACATAATATAAAATGCTAAGAATTTTTAAAATCATCTTTGAAATAATGAACTTTATAATGTATATGTTTTATGTATGTATATGTTAACAAGTACGTTTTTACGGACACGTTATTATAACTTATGAGTGTTTAGTCAGTTTAAAACGAAAACATTTGATTATGCCATAGCAGGACTAGCAGGACGCTTTTTTGTTTTGTTTTACGCATGCAAGCCCGAATTAACCTTCAATGACAATGTCTATAACTAGATTCTTTATGATTATACAATCAAAAGATCCGCCTACAATTTATAAATATCCAATTATAATGAATTTATAAACTAATTTTTTCGCTAATTCTCTTTTTTATGGCGAAATAAAAAACATCAATTTTTTTGCGTTAGCAATTTCTTATCTTTTTTTACTAGTTGCTATTAACCATTTTGTGAAATGTTTATTTTTAAGCTTTTACTATTTAAAATATACTTTGTTTAATTTTAAAGTTAAAAAAAAATTCTCGAAATGTTAGGTGTATAATTTAGCTTTAAACTAATATAACTCAATGTTGTGTTCGTTGACTTTTTCTTTATGTTGACTTCATTTTTTAGAAATTCAAACAAATTATGATTTAATTTTTTTAAAAAAAAGTAACAAATAAATTTTGAATATTTTAATTTAATCCAGAAAAACATGCTTTAGTTATGCCCCCCTCCCCATTTACCATTTTTTTATAGCTTAAAGTGACATTAAGTGTAAAGCCAAAACTTGAAAAAGTTTTGGCTTTACACGGCACGTTTTAATATTTTAAACTTTACAAACATAGTTTTAATGCGAGAGCTACTGTCTTTTGGGTCAGTAATATCTGAAAAAATAATACATAATTTATGCTCCAGATTACATGAAACCGTGCAGATTTATTGTAAATTTCAAAAAAACACTGAAATTCAATTTTTTAAGTGTTGTGGCTTTTCACGGCAGTATAAGAGCTTTTATTCATCTGCTGTAATTTTCCAAACATCTGTTTTTTCTTCTCTAAGAACGTTATCGGGATTTTCCCTTAGGGTTCAAAGTCGAACTCTACAAAGGTAAATGTTTTTGTGCGTAAAAGCATAAATTGAATTAATTTGATTGGTGCATAAGTATTTTTGAAATATATGATTGGTTCGATATTATTTTAAAAGATTTAATTGGCTATGACTGATTCTCATCAAACTAAGCTTTTCTTTATTGTTTTATGCATGGTATTAGCTTAGAACTTAACCTAGAATGGACGATGAAAGTAAGCTAGATTTTATGTCTCGAACGAAAGTGTCATTAACTCAGAATAAAATTTGGTGTTTAGTTACGCAAAGAGACAATGTATGCTTTTCGTTTAAATTTAAAGAAGATGCTAAAGGTCAAGACGTTATGGACGAGGTATTTTCTTAATTTTTAAATTTTGCTTAGGGTACAAAGTCCAAACTAAGTTTTTTTTTTGAGAAACATTTATTGGTTCATAGAATTGTTGAAAATACAATAATAGTGAGATAAACAATGAGAAAAAATAAGCAATTGTTAAAATTTCGACATGGTTGTTTAGGGTACAAAGTCCACATGACGCAGCTTTTTTTAAGACCAAACTCGTTTTATATTTCAGGTTTGCAATAAACTTGGAATTGTTGAAAAAGATTATTTTGGTTTACAGTATACTAATTCTAGAGGTGAAATACATTGGTTAAACATGAGAAATCGAATATCTCGACAAATAAATAAACCTGAACCTTTTTCATTGATGTTTTGTGTGAAATTTTATGTTCAACCTCACCAGTTACTTCAAGAATCTACAAGGTAATTATAATCATGATTTGCTAGCTTTTTGTTTTTTAATATCCAATATAAACTATTTAGAAAATCAAGTTTTATCTAGTTTAAAATTATTCCTAAAGTTACTTTTGAATTAGAACGTTGAATTAGAAATATTACGTGTTATGCTCAAGTTAAAAAAATCTTTAGGTGGCAGTTTTTTCTTAATGTTAAAGAAGATTTGCTGGCAGGAAAATATCATGAAGTCAATTTACCTTATTTGTATGCTTTATTATCTCAAGCTGAAGCAGGTGATTTTTGTGAAAATCACATCAGTTATAACCCTTCTAGATGCTCTCATTGGCTACCTGAATTTCGGTCTGAAGTTATCATTGAGCACTGCAAGTTACAAGGAATGTCAAAAGAAGCAGCTCAATTTTTTTTGTTGAAAGAAGTTGCAGAATCTGATGATTATGGTATGGAACATCACTATGTTAGATTGGATTCTAACAATAAACCTGTATTTCTTGGAATTGGAATTGATTGTTTAAAGCTTGACAAAGGAAATGATTTAATAGAAAGGTATTTTAACTTTTATTTAAAAAATTAAAATTTTTTATTAAGAAAAAATTTTATCAAAATTTTGTATTTTTTAACTTTCGCAATAACTTTTTTAGCAAGATTCTATTTTTTTAGGGTGCCATTTAACTGCCTGCGAATGGCAACTCGATCAGGGAAAACTGTAAAATTAGATATTTGTAGTTCTGACATTGGTGATATTGTTAGCATTGTATATCAATTAAATAGTAAAGATAGTGCGCAAGCTCTTTATCGTTCTATAACAGAGCACCATGCATTTTATAGGTGTGATAGTATTCGACCTGCTGTAAAGCAACAAGTTGCTAGAGACTTTTTTGACACATTTTTATCTTGGTTACCAAGTGATCATATGACAGAACAAAATTATATTTTTGACACAGAAAGAACATGTACAGAAGCTTACGATCATGCACGTAGGATACTTTACAATTTTGGTTCTTCTGCTGCAGCCACAATACATGCCAAAAATGACGAGGATAAAACTCGAGAACTAAATGAACTGTCTGAAGTTGAATGTCTTAGAAGCCAAGTTATTAGACTAACTAATCAGGTTGAACAGTGGAAAGAGTCATTTAATTGCTCAGTCTGTCGTGATCGAATTATAGATGTAGTTTTAGAGTGTGGACATACAATTTGCTTTGACTGCAGTGAGTTATGCAAAAACTGTCCGTTTTGTAGAAATAAAATAAAAAATAAAACAAAATTTTTTTTGGGATTAAATCATATTGTTTCCACATCTGAAGATAATTTGTTAAAAGAAAATATAGAATTATCAAATGAAATTCAGCCTATACAACAGTTGGTTCCATAAATAATTCTGAATTATAGTTTTACTAAAAAGCAAACTTTTCAATGTTATGTCAAAGATTTACCATATATTATTGCATCAAACCTACAATTTCAAGAGAAGTTTTTAACAATGTTTTATTAAATTTATTGAAAGAGCTTTAATTTTTAAAGGTATTATAGAAAATTTAATCTTTGTTGCTGCCGGCACAGTTGTAGAGAAAGAAAATTTCCTAACTGATAACTTAAAAATGAAAGCTTTAAACTAAACTTTTTATGTATATATATTTTATACCTGTCTGTTTTTAGTGATATTATTGATCTATCAATAATTTTTTTTTTGTACATATCAAAAAGCATTTTTTTAGCAACCTTGCACTGTCTCAGTTTTACATACTTGAATATTTTTTTTTTAATTTGCTTTGCAGTTTGTTAAAGTTTAATATTGTAGCAGTAGAAACTCAAGGGTGTTTAAAAAGGTCATTATCTTAATATTTGATATGTTTGATGATGCGTTAAAGCATATATTTATTTCCATTATTAGAAATTATCTTTTGAGTTGTTTTAGTAATTTTTTAAAAAAATTATAAAAAGACTGTGTTGGTGTTTTAGGCAACACATTAAAAGTATTTTTCGTAATGTGTTTTTTTTGTTTGTTTCTTCTAATTTTTAATTAGTTAAGTGCTGTCTAGGCTTCACTTATAGTTTTTAAGGATATATTATTTAAAGATCTTATTTTTTAAAAAGGAAAAAAAAGTTTTTTAAATTGTTATGCTATTATTTTTTAATTTATTATGTTAAAACTTGTATAAAAACAAAATGTTTATTTGTGTGGCAGACAAAGTATTAATTTTCAATTGATCTTTAAAATCGTTTTTTTTTTTCCTGCAACTTTTTATCACAACAATCGTTTAAAAGAGGCGTGTGCCTTATTACGCAAGACATTTGGTTAAACGAGCTATTGTGTTTTCATAAATGCATAAGCAAAAAGAAGTTTTTTCAGATCGTTTTTTAAAAAGAAGGGCATTTACAGAGAACGTGCGCAGTATAACCACTGATTTAGGTCCTCCTCCCTCTTGTACAAAATCAATACCCCTTTTCTCCAACGCTAACTAAAAAACTTTTAGTTAATGCGATATATCTCAATTATTATTACTATTATTTCAGAATATAACGCCACCATAGGTGATAAATAATTTACAGTAGTTGTATGAAAATTGCATAAATATATTGATTATAGGTAAAAAGTTATTAAACATCGTACGCTTTAATTAATAGTTTAAGAATGTTTTCGTTTTTCCGGATTCCAATATGTTTTTGTAAAAGCAAAAAGCTAATCGTTTCAGCAATTCCAGAGTTAAATAATTGATTGCGTTTGATTATTAAGCTTTTCTTAAGGTAAATCAATTCTTTAAAGAATGTAGAAAAATTAACTTTTCTTATTACTGATTTGTAAGGGCCATAATAGAGATCGATTGAATTGCATTGAGCACTTGTGATACTATATCTTTTTTTTATATCTATTAATTGCCTTATAAGGTTATCATATGTACCATGGACATAATATAACAAAGGCATGGCAACGGAACATAGTAAATGTTTACAAATTATATCTTCAACTCCCTAAATATCAAATATATAAAAATCACGTCAGTATGCATTGTTCTTTGATCTACTCTGCTTCCGGGAAATCTTAGTCTTAAAAAAAAAATGTAAAAAATCCAGAATATAGGAAAATAATTCCAATTTGCTAAGTGCTTCCTTTACAAGTAAAAACAATCTACTAAAATATTTTGCTTGATTTTTAAAGAACTTAGTTAATAGAAATTTTTCGTAAACGGAAAAAAATACCTTACATATTATTTGCCATGGCAATATATACTAATAAAATATAGCGACTAAAATATTAAAAACAAAATGAATATAGGTTTATATAAACGAATATTAAGGGGTTTCAGTAGTTTTTTTTATGCTATATATATATATATATATATATATATATATATATATATATATATATATATATATATATATATATACATATATATATATATATATATATATATATATATATATATATATATATATATATATATATATATATATATATATATATATATATATATATATATATATATATATACAAGTAAAAATAATTAATAAAACGGTTAAAAAACAAAACATTCTGAATTAAAAAAAAATCTAGCTTTTTTTTTTCACAGAATATTAACTACACAACCAAGAAATTAAAATAAATAACACTGTCGAACTTGTATAAAGATCCTTAACCAAAAAAGTTCGCAATAGAATCAGTAGTCAACCCGTAAAAGTGGTTGTACCATCTTAGGAACCTGCTAATCTTACGCAATCTTCCTCTTTACATAGTTGTAATGAACAGTTTTATATTAATTGTATATTATGTACTTAATATTAATTTTATATTATGTATTATGCGCATTTTTATTTTTATTTTATATTTTGCTGCAATTATAATTTTACATGCATTGATTAAAAATATATACATTTTCGTATTTACAATTCAATCTTTCTTAGATTATTTTTCTTAAATTTATTATAACATATACTAAAATTATAATTACAATAAATATATTTAGTCATATATAATAAGTTTATTATATTTGAACAAATATGTTTGTAGTAATTTTGTAATTATAATTACAATATGTATGCAGAGGCGATTCTACAAATAAAATGAGGGGGGGGGGGGTGAAACCTTAAAACGTACCGACTGGTTCTTTTTTAAAAATCTGACTATAACTTGAAAATCACCTTCTTTGGGAGGGTGGGGTGGAACACCCCTCCCCTTCTTAGAATTACCTCTGTCTGTATGTAATAGTTAAGATATAATTTAATTAAAAATTGCTTAAAAAAGATAAAAACAATTTATTTCTCATTATAGTGTTATAGTGTGGTATCAAAATCCGTGTACAGAGTGACATCATTGTGTAATTTTAAATTGAGATGATAGTGATATCATGAACTTCTCAAAGTATAATATCACATTCTGAGTACATGATGAGATCATTTTTTGATATCATGTTATGGTATGACTTGATATAGATTGTGCGATTTCATTTTTATACTGATCTCATAAGCATACCATGTTATGACATCACAGATCTCGTAATATGAGATCATTATGATATCAAATATGATATCAAATTGATATATATGTGATAAATATGATATCAAATTGCTGAATGAGATTATTTGTCCGCGCGTACAAATAATGACTTCATTTTTTATTATTCGGTTATTATTATTGCATTAATTATTACAATTAATACCAGATTGTAACAAAAAAAAAAAAAAATCCATAAAAAAGGATTGCATATGATTAATTTTTTTTAATTTTAAATAATTAGTATATTTAATATTTAAATTCTATCATTGGTAAAAGTTTTACCGTAATGGTTTTACCGTATAACTATTTTCATAATTTGTTGATTCGCAAATGATTTCGAATTCCTCATAGATTATACATGCTTCCGAAAATAGTAATTTACTATGTACGCTGCAATCTTCAAATAATAAGAAAATTGTGTCACACATCATAATATTTCTAAGATTTTTTAATCACATTTTGTGTAAAATCATTGCCTGCAACCTTGACACCGGATCCATTTTTTTTAAGGTAGACTTTCAGAATAAGTTTCCCAACATACAAGACAATCATAATTATAATGTGCTACAATTGTCTTTACATTTTTCATCTTAGTTTTTTGTATGTTTGTTTAATAATTTGTTTAATATACTAGATAACTAGGTAACAGAGTCTCTTTACTACTAGATCTCTAAAGATCTCTAAAATATTTACAGGTATTTGATTTATTTGTTTTTTATTAGCCTTTTCCAGTTTTTTAGTTTGTTGCTGTTTCATTATATTTCTTCAAGGAGTATCTGTTAGAATAGCAGCTTTTCTTTTCTTTGAATTTGAGATGAATTTCTTAGAGCTGCCTTTGAGTAAGGTTGCACAGTTTCCCGAAAAAATGGTTCAGGAGTTTTAAAAATAAGTAACGTTAGTTTATTAATATTATCTTTAACAGATCAACTTGCAGTTGGTGCTAAATATGCTTCAGAATTTGCTTGATTTGATAGCTCTTATACAAGATATATTTGTTCTTTACGGTCTTTGAGAAATGATGATAAGAAATTATCATAAGCAATTATGTATGCATTGTACGGGTAGTTTTTTGGAAACCTTTTAGAAACACAAACATTGGGGCACTGTATTTCCGTAGACAGATATAGCGCTTACTACTTTGGCATTAGATTTTTAATTTTAATGTTTTAAAATTTATGTGTTGGGGAAAAAGGGGTTAATTTTGTAATAAATAATGCATGCGTACGTAGAAGGATGAGGGGGGGGGTTGTTAAATGCATTCAAGGGGAGGGGGTCTCAAATGAGTAGTTTTATTGCGTACGTACTTTATGGATGCCCCCGTAAATAATTTTTGAAGGAAAGTTCTTGCTGTTGGGAAAATATCAGCCTAGATTTTCAATAATTAGTAGATGGGTTATCTACACAATTTTGTTTTAAGATGTATGGTGATAATGTCATTTTCTTAATTTTGAATTTTTTAGCAGCTATGCTTACACTTTTCTTCACTTTTTTCTCTAAATCCATTCTCAATCCATCTTGCATCACTTTCTGACTTGTAAAAACACCATTTGATGTTTTTCACTTATAATTATTATAATTTTTCGCCACTGGTATCTTAGATTGTTTTATAATCCTAGAGAAAATGTTTTTCTATAAGTTCTTATATATTATATTGCTATGTTACTTAAGTACTAAATGCGATGTTCAATAAGTTTCCACAAAAGTTAAATATAAAATTAATTCAAAAGATTATAGTAGTAATTGTAAACAAATGTAAACTTTTTATTAAAAATCATTTTGCGAGTAAAAGTTCGTTTGTTCATGTTTGCTTTTCTGCGTTTATTTCAATCTTTGGCTTAAAGAAGGGAAGGTTGGAGACATTAAAAAGAAAACTGTTAACCACAGGCAAGTTATTTTTTTTTATTGAATACATTAATGGTCATTAAATCTTTATTCCAAATGCAAGTTTTCAATAAAATTAATCATATAAAAGTTACAGTTTTTTTATTATATTGGTCACTAACCTCACGATCAAAAAAGAAAACACAAAAACCATTATAACAGCCTTACTCCTGAATCAAAAAATAAAATATGTGATTGCATTTCTTTATTCAGAAGTCGAGAGTGCCACTATTCTCAAAAAAAAAAAAATGTTTGGCGACTCTATCTTCCTGAAGAATTAAATATTACAAAGACGTTTAATCTGTTTAAAACTTTCAGTCAATTGTTTTTAATTTCCATCTTAATTTACCAAATTAATCCACCAATGACTTTTACTACAAAAGAAAATTAACATTTCATTCATTTAATATTTATGTGTTTTTATGTAATGTTTTTATGTTTTTTTGTATTGTTATGATGAAACTATAACTAGAAAAAGAGCTTATGATGTAACTTTAATATTATATGATTTATTTTTGAAACATTTAGACAAAGATATTCGATTTGTAGAGTTATTTTGCAATTCATGTGCTAGACAAAATAAAAACTATACATTAATTCGTTTAATAAATTTTCTTATTCATGAAAAAAAAAAAGGTTTGGCTTCATTAAAATTACGTTTCCAGAACACGGATATTCTTATATCAAATCTGATAAAGTTATGGGGTTATTTAAATGCAAAACACCTGCATGTGTTCCATTAGATTGGATTAAAACATTCAGAAATGCTCGTAAAAGACCCTCTCCATTTCATGTTGTAGAATTGACGCAAGATATGGTAAAAAGTATAAATGATTTATAAGATCATTTTATAAAAACAAATGTCCATTCCAACTCGTCTTCTTTCAACAAATCTTCTCTAAAACCCTCTATCACCCTCTAAAAAGTTTAAAATTTGATGAAATCTTCTCTTAACTCCTCTTTTATTTATTTTTTCAGTTCTTGATGTTAGTATAATGTTCAAAATTCTCGGTCTGCAAGACTGGTTAACGTCTAATAAGGTATTGGGTTGTAAACAAATTGCATGTTATTTAACATAAAATTTCCAACGTGTTCAAACCCCATAAGTGTGAAAACATGGGCATTAAACTTTTAAAAAAAATGGGCATTAAAACTTCAAAAAAAATCTTCGATTTTTCTTCAAAATGTTTTAGTTTTGCAAAAAAAAAACCTCTAAATTAGATGCAAAATCTCCTGTAAAATCTTCTATTATCCTCTTATTTTTAATGAAAATTTAATGAGGTCACCCTGAATCAGAAAAGACTCAATGCAGGGCCGCTCATGGAATAAGAGGAACAGAATAATTTTCCCCTAGGCTCCAAGAATATTAGTAAAGTTGATGTTCCGGAAAATTTTTTTAAAGAAATGGTATTTTTCATAGCCAAAGACCTCAAAAATTAAGTTCAGCCCCAGGGACCAGCCAGCTTCGGAGCACCCCTATCACTTGCAATAAACACCTGTTTTTAGATACAGTTTTTTGACATCTGCATAGGCAAAGTTTGCAAAAATTGCACATAGTCATTAACAACTAAAAACTTATACAAGCTCCAACACTTTTATAACGTTGACATTATATCATAAGGGCAAAATTATTGGATAAAATAAGCTTCTGCCTATTTATATTTATAAGCTAATATTAAAAAATTAATAATTAAGTGCTTTAATTAGTATAAAAACGTAAAAAGTTGTTTTACCGAGGAAAAGACGGCAGGGTCCAAAAAACGCTTTACTTGAAAAAGAAAATCTAAAATGAAAATCATTGCACGTGAGTTAGAAATTTAATGAAAAGTACCTGAGTCAAGTTCGTTATTACACGCATTGTAGGTTCAATCAGAGGTGTGGAGTCGTAAAAAAAAAGTAACGACTCCAACTCCAGTTGTTGAAATTTTTTGAGCACAACTCCGACTCCAATTCCGACTCCAGTTCCAACTCCAAAGCAAAATTTTTGAAAAATTTTTTGAATTCTTAAAAAAATATTACGCGATAAGTTAAAAATTTCTTTGAGGTTTAATATGAACATAAGGTTAGTTGAATGTTTTGTACATGCACGTGCAATACCGAGAAGTTTTACTATTGGAGTCGGAGTCGCGATTTTGTTTAGCGATTCCTACTCCGACTCCGCTAAAAATGTCTCCGCAACTCCGACTCCGACTCCACGGTCCTGGATTCAACACTTTCAACTTTGCGAATTTTATTTAAAGGATCGAGGCAGGCTACTTCATTTTCCGTGTTATTGTTTTCACCTTTTAGCCCATCGTTTTTATTATTTTCTACAGTTTTTTTGGAAATCGTACAATGTTTTGGTTTGATTAAAAAAAAAGGTCATTTTTGGAAGTTTCCATTCACCATTTCCACTCTCTCTTTCTTCAATCTCCTTTTAGAGGCTCCACTTTCATATTTTCTTGGCATATTGATAATAACTGTATAATCTGAAAAGTATAAAACTATTTTATATTCACACAAGAATTCATTTGTGCAGAAGTACAAAAGAATTGTAGAGTTGCAATCGTTAATACATTTTCAAAGACAATATAATTATTTAAGTCATTAATAACTTTCCAAAGTTTTTGTAGCAATTTTTACAGATATTACATTCGATTTTTAATATAAGGCACTGGTAATCTAGTAATTTTTTTCGTAGAGTTGATTCTCCTCCGATAGTGCAAGGCCAGAAAAAAAATTTAAGGTGGTTCATACCCACAACTGATCACTGTAGTGTTTTTGTTAACAGCTTTTTTATTTTTGTGTTTTTGTTTTCAATTAGACAATTTAGTAAAAATAAAAGATTTAATTATTCAGAGTTAATAAAAAATCTTTTACTTTGAATCAGGGGCCCCAAAATAGTGTGGCCCTGGGCTTTTGCCCCTAGCCCCCCCCTTCCTTTAGTCCAGCTCTGCTTGTACTTTAGTATTGCGGTTTATCCTACTTAAGTAAATTGCCATACGGAAGCCGCATACTATGTATTAAGTAAAAGTTGGTAGTAATCGCAAGATAGCATATTATAATGTAACCAGACTGTCATTTTAAACACAAAAACTAAGAAAATTTTCCCATTCTTTTTTATTTTTAATTTTTTTAATTTTTCGTCATTTGACACATTTTACAATGTTAACCTTACATTCAAATAAATTTATACAAATGCAAGCTGACTGGGGCAAGTAGAAGACAAAATGTCTAATCATCAAGCCCCTTCGTGAAAAAAAAAAAAAAAAAAAAAATTACAATTTCCAATAATATATAAAAGAGTTAAATTAAAAAAAGTTTGAAAAAACAAATTAAAAAGTTTGAAAAATCAAAAAGTTGAAAAAATAATTTTTAAGTTTGACAAAACTCAAAAGTTTGAAAATAATAAAAAATAAAAAAGTTTGAAAAAATAATTTACAAATCCGTACATATGCGTATACATATCCAATAAACTTCATAATATATATTTAAATATACAAAAGATATTTTGAATTAAAAAAGATTCCGAATATTTTATAGATTTAAGTTTATCTACTCATATTTTTTTTTTTAAACAAAATTAAAACAGACAAACAAAAAGAAACAAGAAGAATATATATAAGAAGGATATATGTATATATATACATATACACACATACATATACATATACACATACACACACAGACACACACACACACACACACATATATATATATATATATATATATATATATATATATATATATATATATATATATATATATATATATATATATATATATATATATATATATATATATAATATATATATATATATATATATATATATATATATACATATATACAAATACACATATACATATACACATATACATATATATATATATATATATATATATACATACACACACATATAAACATATACACATACATACACACTTATATATATATATATATATATACCTACATATATATATATATATATATATATATATATATATATATATATATATATATATATATATATATATATATATATATATATATATATATACATACACACATACATACATATATACATACATACAACACACACATACATACGTATATACATACACATACATATACACATATATACACATACACATATACATATACACATATATTATATATATATATATATATATATATATATATATATATATATATATATATATATATATATATATATATATATATATATATATATATATTTTAATTAAAAAAATGAAAGAATGTACGTATTGTTTAAATTTATCAATAGATTTTATTTTTTTCATATTTTCTTCAAGAACCGAGTTCCACAAGCGTGGTCCCCAACATGTAATTGAGAAGTCAGACTTTTTGAGTAATATTAGTGGGATGTAGTAATTATTTATTGAGTGTCTTGTTTTATATTTATGATTAATAAGAGAGAAGTTTTTATAAAAATATTTTGGAATTAATTCGTTTTGAAGTTTAAACATAAATAACAAGTTATGGTAGGTGTTTAATTTGTATACATTTAGGGCATTTATTTCCTTGAGTAACGGCTAGGCACTTTCGTATCTATCCATGGCCGAAACTAATCGACTTGCTTGCTTTTGTTTTGTGTAAATAGTTATTAGGAAAGATGAGTGATTGTTTGCCCAGGCAATATTACAATAGTTAATATGACTATGTATAAACGAAAAATATAAATTTTTTAAACATATTTTGTTCAAAAGACTTTAGGGATAACGTATAAGACTTCTCAAAGACTTTAGGGATAATGTATAAGACTAAACGTCTTATACATTATCCTTAAAGTCTTTGAGACTTTGTTGTCAACTAGCTTTATTTGGCTTTTCCAATTTAAATGTTCATCAAAAATTATTCCAAGTATTTTCATTGAAAACACTCTTTTTATTTTAATATTGTTAATAGTTATTTCTGGTAGTGTAAGTGGAAGATTCTCGGATTTAGATGATTTAGCAAACAAAATTTCTTTCGAACTAAAAAATTTAAGTATGTATTTTTTACCGGTTATTTTATTCAATAAATTTAATTCTTTACTAAATTAAACTCCTAAAATAAATCTCCTAAAATAAATAACAATTCCTACCTTTTTGCATGTGCTTTTTAAAAAAGAAATTTCATCTTGCGCGAAATTTTGTTCGAAACTTTTTTCCACTTGAGTGAGGTCTGTGTATCCCGTTTTTCATAAAATCCTGACCGAATTAAAATAAGTGCTCAAAAATTATTATTAGAAAATGATTATAAATGGTTTAAATAAATTTTAAATAAATTGGGTTTTGATTATACAAAAAACGCGAATACTGGATTTGCTTACTGGAAAAAAGTATTAACCGAACATTTTTAATGCAAAAAACAAAACAAAAACAAACAAACAAAAAACCCGCCAAAAAAAGTCGAAAAACAAAAAGTCTATGTAAAATAAACTCTAATTTTTGTTTACATAGCAACAGAAATAAGTCAAACACGGTGTACATTTATTTACCTTATATATATATATATATATATATATAT